GAGGTCCGTACAATAATTGAGGACCAAAATTGGGGATTTAACCATTTATCAACTATCCAATTAAATTAATTCACATAACAATGACATTTTTCTATATGAAATCATAAAAAAAAAAAAAGTATGAACTTAGGGTACAGGTTAGAAAGACCCTATAATTAAGTATAAAAACAAAATTATTAAATTTTAAAAAGGTTTATCTAACATGTGCTGTAAACTTTAAAGGCACATGTTAATGGTTTAATAAATACACATTTTTGCAATTCATTTACATAAAAATATAGAAGTTGACATTTAGTTTATCACCATAGTCACATGTAAAATTTTAATTGGTCAATTGATTATACCAAAATTAACATTTATATTTATTTTCTAATATGTAGCAACTAAGGATTGAAGTCTAAATTAGTGGTTAAGAGTACAGATAACTCTACCATCAGGTTATGTGACTGATGGTACAAATGTAAAGATATAGTTTAGAAAAACTTATTTTAAAATTAAAAATTTACACATGTATTTTAAGTGCACACATTAAATACATTAATTGTATTTTTTTATCATTATTAGTAATTATTATGGATAAATACAAATTTATTTTAATTTTATAACTGCTTAACTATTATCATCCTACATTGATGAGTTTAACTTTAATTTTCTAAGTTGATCTTAAAGTAGGGTCTACGCTAACAAGGGAAGGAGAAAGAAAGTGCTAACTTGTCAAATAAGTTGCCTCATCACGCCTGGTCGGTGCCACATGAGTGAAGTTTAACGGGCAATAATGATAGTCACAGAAAAGTAACGTGAGCGTTAACAGAAGGGCTGATTTGTTGGTTTTGGTAAGTAGGAGGGTCAATTTGCACTATTTCTAAGTAGAGGAGCTGACATGCCATAACAATCAAAGTTGAGGGGCTGAATTGCACCTTTTTCCATTTTTCACTTGATTACTCTGCTTGAAAGACGAAATGGAAGGAGGAAAAAAAGGAGATGTGACGCCCAACGGCCCAAGGATTTTCTTTCTTTTTTTATTTTTTATTTTTTGATGAAAGGATTATCTCTGTTTGTTGGGCATGTTTTGGTGTTTGGGTGTCGCTGAAGCTGTTTTCTGGGGGACTGATGGGCATATCTTTAGGGTTTTTCAAGATATGTTATGATTTAGAAAATTATTAGTGGTCATTGCCTTGCTATGCAGCGAATTTTACTCTAAATTTATAACTGTTACATACTAACGATTTTTATTATTTGTGTCATTAAAATTGACAGTTTTCATTATTTGTATCATTAAAATTAATGGTTTTCCAATTTTCTTTACATATTGATAGTTTATATCAATGTATAATGAAGTGTGTAACTGTGTAAAGTATATATATTATTGTCCAATTATATTAATTGATTTGTTTAGCTTTTATTTTGTGGATGATAGAGTAACTTTTGATAGTTTTATCCTTAGTTCTCGAAGGAAAAAGGGGTTTTGCTTTTTTTTTTTTTTTTGGTTGAAATGGTTCCATTATTCAATATAAATTCTATTTATCAATTAATTCGAAATTTAGAAGAATAAAACTATGAGATTAATTGTGAATTTAAATTAAAATTTTAACAAAGTGAAGTTTGTAAGATCACAATTTAAAATTAATTTTTTTTTAAAAAGATAAGATAAAAATCAACTATCAAATAGAAAGGTCATTTAGATACTAATAAAATATTTGTTTATCTTTTGTTTTGTGGAAGATTGAATAACTTTTGATAGTTTTTCCTAGTTGTTCAAGGAAAGAGGGATTCAACTTTTTTTTTTGTGTGGTAAAAATGCTGATTCCATTATTTAGTATATATAAGTTTTATTATTCTATTAATTTGAAATTTAGAAGAATAATACAATGAGACTAATTGAAAATTTAAATTAAAAATTAAGAAGGTAAAATTTGAATTCTAAGTAAATGACCTAGTCTAAAATAGTTTTTGAAAATAGTTTTTATTATATAAGATTCAAATTAGATTTAAGAAGGATTTTTCAATTTTATTTATCTTGTGGATAAAGTAATAATTTTAATTTGAATTTATTTATCTTTGTAATTTAAAGAATAAAATATTGAAAAATCTAAATAAGATCACAATTTAAAATTAAATTTAAAAAAGAAAAGTTTAAAATCAACTAATAAATAAATGAATTATCTAGACACTAATAAAATTTTAATCTTTTTATTTGTGAGCCTTAATAACAACAAAATTTAATAAATAGTTTTGGTTGATGAGAAAAAATAGGAATACAATTAATTAGTTTAAGAGAGATTTGTTT